ACCTCCAAAGAGCCTATTTACATGCTCCTCCAGAGTGCCCCCTTATGTCCTGCTTCTCTAGAATTCCCCCTAAGTTAGTGCCCCCTTACATCCTCCAGAGTGCCCCCTTACATCCTCCAAAGTGCCCCCTTAGTACTAAATTTGTACCTCCAAAGTGCCTATTTACATGCTCCTCCAGAGTGCCCCCTTATGTCCTGCTTCTCTAGAATTCCCCTAAGTTAGTGCCCCCTTACATCCTCCAGAGTGCCCCCCTTACATCCTCCAAAGTGCCCCCTTAGTATTACTGTACTAAGTTAGTCCTCCAGAGTGTCCCTTTAGATTCTCTTCCAGAGTTCCCCTTTATTTCCTGCTCCTCCTGAGTGCCCCCTAAGTTAGTGCCCCCTCATTATCCCCCTTGTGACCTGCTTCTCCAGAGTGCCCTCTAATTTAGTGTCCCCTTATGTCATCGTCGTTGTCCTCCTCCTAGGTGTCCTCTAATTTATTGACCACTTATGTCATCCTCCTCCTCCAGAGTGCCCCCAAAGTTAATGTCCCTTTCACATACCTTCTGGCCTGGCTGTGAGTGGCTGGCAAAAACAAACATTTTAGTAAAAAAAAAAAATCCTTCTTAGCGACTCTGAGGATAGGATTGTACACCCCATTAACACCCATCATACCACAACAACATATCTACATTAAACACAGGAAAAAAAAAAAAGGTTGTGGGAATAAGTTTAGGCCAGGGGTGTCAAGCTCAATTTTATAATAGGCCACAGCAGCATTATGGTTGCCTTTACAGGGCCAGTTGTACCTGTAAGTCTAGATGTCCAGAGCACCCCACCCCCCTTACATCAGATGTCAAGAGTCCTCCACCCTCCCTTACATCACAGTGCATAACCCTTACTTTGTGCTGGTACTGGGAAGAAGCTGAGGACGGAGTTGAAAAGCAGAAAGTGCAGGGTCTGGAGGAGGACCAGAGGAGGCTGGCGACTGCTGAATGCTAAGACCAGGGGAGATGGAGATGAGGGGGTGCTATTCAGCTGCAGCTGAATAGAAATACGCAGGATCTGGTGAGGAGTTCTGCCCTCCTCCTTGCTGCTGCCTGCTGAATCAAGGTGGGGGTGAGGACAAGAGGGGGCCACAGCTACAGAAGAAGTGCGAATGCCACAAAATGGCCTGGCAGGCTGGATTTGGCCCTTAGGCTTTGAATTTGACAAATATGCTTTAGGCATCTTTATTGGGTTTAAATAAATTTTAACCACTTCACCTCTCACACCTGTTCACCCCTATGCACCAGAGCAATTTCTGCTATGGGCCTGTTTATTCAGCGATAACTTTGTCATTACTTTATGAATATTGATTTGCAACAAGGATTTTTTTTTCAATCCTTAAACAATTAAATGTAACAAAATGTAACAAAATGCACTTTTTCTTTTTTGAGCAGTGTTAGTTTAAAAATAAATAGTGTTACTGCACATACAAAGTGCACATTTTATTTTGTAATTTGTCCTGTTTAAAATTACACAAAAATGATAATTCTGGTACAAAGCATTGCAAAGTTATTTACAAATGAAGTAAATAATGAATGAGAAATGTGTAAATACAGTGGCAAAATGGTTAGCCCTTGTGTCTGGCAGTACTAGGGTCATTGGTTCAAATCCCAGCCATGATACCACCTGCCTGGAGTTTGCATGTTCTCCCTGTGCCTGCGTGGGTACAGGTACTCTGTTTTCCTCCCACGCTCCAAAGACATGCTGTTAGGTTCATTGGATCCTGTCTAAATTGGCCATAGCATGTGTATGTATGTATGATTGTAAGCTAGGGATTATAGATTGTACGCCCCTTGAGGGTTAGGGACTGATGTGAATGTACCATATATATATGTAAAGCACTGCATAAATTGATGGCACTATATAAGCACCTGTAATAAATAAATATACATTCACCGAGCACTTTTTTAGGTACACCTGTTCAATTGCTTGGTGTAACACAAATTGATAACCAGCCAATCACATGGCAGCAACTCAATTCATTTAGGCATCTAGATGTGGTGAAGATGACTTGCTGTAGTTCAAACTGAGCATCAGAATGGGGAAGAAAGGGGATTTAAGTTACTTTGAATGTGGCATGCTTTTTGGTGTCAGACGGGTTGATCTGAGTATTTAAAAAAACTGCTGATCTACTGGGATTTTCACACACATCCATCTCTAGGGTTTACAGAGAATGGCCAGAAAAAAAGAAAATATCCAGTGAGCAGCAGTTGTGTGGACGAAAATGCCTTGTTGATGTCAGAGGAGAATGGGCAGACTGGTTGGAGATGATAGAAAGGCAACAGTAACTCATGTCAATATGGAACAAAATCTCTGAAGTTCTGAAGGCAAATGGGTATTATATTATTATAATTCGATACTAGCAAGGTGTACCTAATAAAGTAGCCAGTGAGTGTAGGTTAAGTGGCAGTTCACATATTTGCAGATGGGATGCAGTTTGAACCACATCCAATCCGCATGGCATGTGAAAAAACATTGCCTCCTATAGTGCATGCTCACATATGTCTGATGTACTGGCGGATTCAGTGAGGCTTTAAAAAAAATGTCATGTACAATTTCTGAGCAGTGCAGTCCAGTTCAGGTGCGGATTACAGGCTATTGACTTCTATGGGAACTGTTTCTAAACTGCATGTGTGAAAAGGATAATGCTGAGAGCTAATCCTGTCCTGAAGCTGACGTAAACCTGACATGAACCGCTGAACAACTACTGTGTCAATTAGCTGTGAAAACAAAAAAAAAAAAAAAGTTTAAATATCATTAGGTAATAAAATAGACAAACAAAGCAAATCAGCAGGAAAATAATAATTGATTGGAGAAGGAGAATAAAGAGTTATCTAGGCCTGATTAGAGTAAACTAAGGGTTAATAAGGGGTTAAACAGAGGAACATTTCATTTAAAAAAGAAAAACAAAACTCTTTATTACTTGCCAGATTGCTTTAACTGACTTCATCTGCAGATTGAAGTTTATCCCTTTGATCTGTAGGTGAATAAACAGAAAGATACAAATTGAAACACTGTTTCTTTGTATGTTTCTGTATTCACCATGTTGTTGATAAACATTGCCAGTTTTTTTGACAGCATCAGCTGTCAAAATTTTCTTTAGGTACTGGGCAATGCCGCTTTGATTAATCAGAGCTGAATTGGCGAGTAATGGGACAGAGGAGGTCCTAGCAGCAATTGCCCACTGTGCAATGATGACATTTTTTAGGGCATGTGTAACACGACTAGAGTCTGCAACTGGTTTTATGAAATAAACTTTAACTATTAACTTTTATTATTAAAGATTAACAGACATGCATAGTCACCAAGACTCAAGCAGTAATATCTTACATCAACCAAATAAAAGTTTTCAAACCAATGTCCACCCATAAATTGAGTGATATTACTTCATAAAGGCTAACTGCAATCAGGGACAAATAGAGCAAGTAATGGTGGGTATTAATTTATTTGACAGCTCAGGCTGGCAACTATTCAGGGGTATTCTTTGTATTGGAGGGACAGAGATGGTAGAAGAGGAGGAGGGGTATGTTTGTATATCAAGAATGATTTTCTAGTGAATGTGCGGGACGACATCGCCAATGGGAAAAGGGAGGAGGTGGAGTCCCCATGGGTGGAACTTTAAAAAGAAGATACCAGCTTGAAAATAATAGTGGGGGTATGCAACAGGCCCCCTAACCTGAAGATGAGGAGGAGTTTGATCTCCTATCAAAGTTAGAAAGGGCAGCAAGTCAGGGCAATGTCATCATAATGGAGGACTTTGAAGTAAATCTAAAGGTTCTTTTTTTTTTTGTAAATAACAAACATATCTATACTTACCTGCTGTGTGGGGTGGTTTTGCACAGAGCAGCCTGGATCCTCCTTTTTTTGGGTCCCCCACAGGCTCTCCTGTCTGTCAGGTGCCCCCACAGCAAGCAGCTGTAAATTCACACATGGAGCCGTGGCTTGGCCCCACCCCCTTTTCTCCTCATTGGCTCCATTGCTGTGATTGACAGCTTGCTGTCTCAGCCAATGAGGAGGCAGAGACCTGGGACAACCAAGGCTGTCATTCATATCACTGGATCATGATGAGGCTCCGGTAAGTATTGAGGAGGTTGGGGGAGATGCTGCACACAGAAGGTTTTTTACCTTCATGCATAGAATGCATTAAGGCAAAAAACCTTCAGCCTTTACAACCACTTTAACTATCCAGACATTGACTGGGCTGAAGGAACAGCTCACTCAACTAAGGCTCCTCATTTCTTAAATGTCTTACAGGACAACTTCATGTGCCAATTGGTGGATGCCCCGACTAAAAATAATGCATTACTCGATATATTGATTACATATAACAGATATGATTGCAGATGTGGAAATAGGGGACAGCTTGGGAACCATTGGTCATAGGATAATTACATTCAGTGTAAATCATAGGATAAGGAGGAACATGGGTAGTGGAAGAACACTAAATTTCAGAAGAGCCAACTTTTCTAAACTGTGCACAGTACTACAAAATATTAAATGGGATCAAATCCTAGAAATACTGAACACTGAGGAAAAATGGGAGCATTTTAGGAACATACTAAATAAAGGTATCTGGAAATTAACACAAAAGCTCTCCCTTAGATGATATCTTACCTCCACCAGAATAGCACATTTCAATAAACAATTCTCTTTATGCTGGAGGAATTATCCACATCTTTTGGCATTGCTCACTCCTATTCAACTTCTGGTCCGCAATTTTCCAAATTATATCTACTCTTGTTCCCTCAAATCCAGATCTAATGCTATTGAACCTACATATCAAAACTGTTAATCCCCATATTAGACACTCTGTCACATCCTTCTGGCAGCCAGATTTAGCATCACAGGATCCTGGAAAAATTCTCATCCACCTACTATGTCTGATGCTCTTGCTTTAGTTCACCAACACTGCTCCTATGAGCTTATGATGGCTTCCAGTAAAGGTAAATATCAGGGGTGGACTGACAACTCATGGGGCCCCCGGGCAATAGGGGATCATGGGACCCCTGTGTTCTTGCCCAAACTCAAAAAAGCCTATGAAAAAGGTACCAGGGGCATCTCATGGGGCCCCCTACTGACCCCGGGCCCTCGGGCAGTGCCCGAGTTTCCAAATGGTCAGTCCGCCCCTGGTAAATATAAAACAGTACTCTCCCTATGGCATCCATGGCTAAGATGGTACCAAACACACTTCCCTGTGTAAACGCCTTACTCTTGTTGAATATCCTCTTATCACTTGAATCCCACTCTATTTGTTTCTTTCTGTCCAGTTTCCTTTCCTATATATTGTTACAAGTTACAGATTACTGTACTAATGCATACTGGTTTATCTTTGTGCCTATATGTAAAATTCTCAATAAAAAGAATTGATGAATAAATAAAGGTATCATCCAGAGTATTCCAACGGGCAATAAATATAAAAGAGCAAAGGTTAAGCCTGGGTGACTAAACTGTAATGGAAAAAGCTATATTAAAGAGAAAAAAAGGCATTTAAAAAATATAAGTCAGTATTCCAACACTACAAGGAATGCAATAAGATGTGTAAGAGCACAATCAGGGCATGTAAAATAAATCACGAGCGACATATAGCAGAGGAGAGTGAAAAAAAAATCTGTATAATTTTTAAAAATAGATTAACAGTAAAAAAGCGAGGTCAGAACATATTGGCCCGATAAAAGATAACAAAGGGAAGTTGGTTACAGATGATAAGAAGGCAGCTATACTAAATACATTTTTTCTCCTCAGTTTTTACAGAGGAAACAGAGATGTATAGTAGTCAAGATTGCATCATTAGTAATGCATCACAGACTGTACCCTTGTGGCTAACAGAAGCAAGTGTCTGTAAAAGTCTAGAAAAACAAAGCAAATAAATTACCAGGATCAGATGGCTTACACTCAAGAGTCCTCGAAGAACTCATCCAGGTTATGAGCACTAACATTTGGTACAAACAGTCCAGCAGGTCAATGTTCTGTTAGTTGGCTATAAGTTAGAGGATGTTGACTCAGTCTATGCACTCATGTTTATGTTCTCCTTACTAACTTTCTCTTTCTTATGCTCCCCTATATTTGCACCCAGGGTGAATGGATGAACCTGCTGCCTGGTTTAGTGGAGGTGTTTTGTCGGTTCTGAATATATTTGAACTAGTCAGTATATTGGTATTATAAGAATATATAATACCCAAGCTCCACTGCTCACACATATTCTTGTGGCTAGAAACCAGTGATCAGGCTGAAGTGTCCCCTCACTCTATCCAAGTAATCCAAAAAACAGTTGAACCGGCACTTGGTATAGTCCATAAATGAAGATACTTTTTTGGCTACATGTAAAACACACTGGTAATATGCTAAAGTGTTTCGGCTGCCTTCTTCTGCTTAACACGTTTCGGCTGTAACAACCTTCTCCATAAACAGTAGTGAATACTGGTAATTAAATGGAATTAAACAGTGGTACTGCTCAAAGCAAAGATCTGATACTAAGGGGTAAAGGTGTCTGCATGCAGTGTCTCTACAATGATGACAGAAAGAGGTTGGGCATCTTCACTCTCACTAATGCCATGGATAGCATGACCTTTTAGGAACAAGTGTCTTGGCTGTTTGCATGGAAGTGCAGAATTGCCGCCTGATGGCCTGTTAGTGCAGCATGCAGAGATGTCAGTGTGAAGACTGGATAGTGACAGTTCAGATGCAGAGATACTGATGTGATCCCAGTACGGCAATCGGCCTCACTGTTGTGCTGAACTGATGTGCAGTAGGCAAACAATCTGTATCTGGAGAAGAACGGCAGTCCCGTTGTGTCCAACTCTGAATCCCACATCAAGAGAGAGAGCTTGTTCCTTGCTGTAGAATATATCTGCTTTCCCAGCATCCTTCTGGTTTCCAAACTCTCTGGTACTTGTAGTTCAATCAGTGCTCAGAAATACAGTATGTATTGGCTATAGGACTAGAAATCCCAAGAGCCTCTGCTGTCAGAAGAACTGCTTCCACTCTGCTAACCGGAAGTGATGTAGCGGTGCCAGTACTGGGCACTAGGGAGGAAAGGATTAATCATAGTCTCAACTGTAATTGTCCCTGAAAGGCATACTGATATAGCTGGCTATGGGGACAGTTATTTGACAGTGAGATCACCTAAACTCATGTCAGTAATGTTTTTACTACTATTACATCAATAAATTGATTGTTTTAAGGGAATATTTGGGTAGTGTATCTGTATTGCACCACAAAATGTCTACCATGCCCCAATTTCTTTCTTTGGTCTAAGATATTCCATGGATGAGGTGCAGTTTTAACTGTATCTACTAACTATCTTTTAATTAAAGTGTTACTAAACCCACAACAGTAAAATCAGTCTGTATATGCAGTAAAGCAAGCTTATTATACTCACTGTGGAACCTATGGGGTTAATCCTCTGCATTGTGTAAAAATGCTGTTTGATCCAAATTGCTCTGTTTCTCCCCTTGTTTAAGCAACTACCTCTTATCTCCTGATAAGACAGACTGAAACGTTTGCATTTTGCACATGCTCAGTTTGGTGTGTATTTCTAGAGAGGGGTTTTTTTTCTTGGGAGAGTGCATATGATCAGCACAGGGCCAATCAGCACTGCCCAGACAGAGGTCAGGGGTTTTGCATCCTCCTAGAGCAGAAAGAAAACTCCTACAAGCCTTAGGTAGTACTGGGCTGAACACTGATAGAAGACTGCTCTAACTTATGATGAGAAAAGGTATTTAGCAGCTTATATTTACTAAAATGATTGCATTTCCAAATTGTGTGTACTGTGGGAGACCAGATATAGTGAATGCAGGGTCCTGGGTTTAGTAACACTTTAAGTTAATACCCTGAGCATTTGACGCCCAGTGTGGACCATTTTTTCAACACCTCCTGCTCTATAGGGCAATAATAATCTTAATATAAAATTATCCTATTACATTTGTAGTGAGTGTAGAATGCAGTGTAGTGTCCCTGTACATTGGTGGTGAGTGGAAAGAAGCCCCTTTACACTGGAGGTTAGTGAAAATGATTCCTTTTTATTGGTGGTCATTGTAGGTGGTAGATAAAATCTACCACTTCTCAAGGAACCCCTAGCAACCTCTGAAGGAACCCTGATTGTTAAAAAGGAACTATCATTCTCTTTTTTAATATTATTATTTAACTCTTTAGGGGACCAAGTGCATATCAATGGACCCATTGTTCCCTAAACAGACCTCTTAATGGTGGCTGTAGCTCAACCCCCTTTTGAAGCCTATGGCATTCCTGTTGGGGGAAGTAAAGTTAGCACAAAGTCTTGTCCCCTCTCTAGGCTGAATTATAGTCGCTTTCATCTGTGCAGGTTTTTTTTATGTGAAGGCAGAAGTCATACTAAAGTGGACTTTCATGAGTATTTCAGTAGTTACCATTGGAAAGTTAACTTCTTAGTAACTAGCTACAAGGTGAAAACCTTCTCTTATTGCACAGTGAAGTGTCGGATTATCTTTCAGAACTCTACCACATGTAGTCAAGTGTTGCAAGGGATTCCCCAGCATCATATATAATGAATAGGGTTTTTGTATGGTGGTGTCAGTTCATATGACAAAAGAGGTGAGACTCAAGTTTCAAATGGAGAAAGATGTTATGTAATAGGTGTGTTGTTACTATGTGTGCGTACAATCAAGAAGATGAGTGGAAACTGGAACCAGAAAGACATTTTCCACCTGCTTTTTGCACACTGAGATAGCTAGAGAACTAGGAACAGTCACCTTAGAGGGATATGGTATATAAAATTTACTTAAAGGAAATTGTCAGTTACAAGAAAATATTTGTACTCCTTTTATGTTTTCAGGGAAAAAAATAAAAGAGATGCAAGGGACAATAGAGATAAAGCTTCCATCTCTGGTTCAGTTGGTTGAGTATTTTATCCTTGTAAAGACAAGGTATGGGGTAAAACAAGGCACAGAAAGAACTTGTCTTTGCAGATGACATGCTTTCTTATTTTCAAAGACTAGTATGGAAGGTTACAGATGGACAGTAAAGTAAATGGAGGGCTTGGCAAGGATATGGAAGTATAGCTATGCAGAATTTTTGAAGACCGAGGGAGAAACGTTATGTAGTTTAGTCATGTAGGCAGAGCCTAACCAGTGTACCGGAACTGTGTAAACATCTGGATATTTAAATTTGTCTATATTGTATTGTAATTGAGATATGGGCCTACAATGATATTTACTTTCATGACAATCATAAATGATAGACATCGTTATTAATGAACTTTTGCATTCCCAAGAAGCACTAATTTACTTATTTCAGGTACTTATATAGCTCTGTCAATTTACACAGCACTTTACATATATATTGTACATTCACATCAGTCCCTAACCCTCAAGGGGTGTACAATCTAAGGTTCCTAACTCACATTCATACATACACATACTAGGGACAATTTAGACAGGGGCCAACTCACCTACCAGCATGTCTTTGGAGTGTGGGAGGAAACCCACACAAGCACAGGGAGAACATGCAAACTCCATGCAGGAGGCGCCATGGTCGGGAATCAAACCCATGACCCATTTACTGCAAGGCAGACGTGCTAACCACTAAACCACTGTGCTGCCTACTTGATCTCTAATTGGAGTTCTTTGAATAGGCAAGTTGCCATTTGTTTTGTAACAATTTTGTAACCCCCCTTGAAGGGTTTCTGAAAAGGTTAAGCCACCTGGGCAATGTACAAAAGTATGACCTGGCCTCATTGTAATTTTTAACACCTCCTAGGGAGTATTGTAATAGATCTTCCTGTAGGAAAGTGAAATTAAAGGATAAGTTCACCTTTGGGAACAAGAAAATGTGTATTATATAGGGCGCGCTTGTTGGAGCCCAACCTCTGTAGCTGTAAGATAAAGTTGCCAGATGGATATCAGGGATGGATGGATGGGAGCAGTAACACTTAGGCAGCTCTTCTTAGAGTGGAAGCAAGGCTCTAATGCATTAACAAGAAAAAGAGAGGAAGGCGCCACTAAGTGCAGTATTGACAATTTATTTAGTAAACAATGGATAAATGGCACTTACAAGATAAACACTTACAAGA